ACTACTACTACTACTACTACTACTACTACTACTACTACTACTACTACTACTACTACTACGTTACTAGTTGCCGTGTTCTTCCCAGGCACATCACATCGTCTCGCAGAATCCGCGTCTCATGGTGGGTGTCACGCCCCGACGGCGGCCAGCTCATCAAGGGTAACCCTTGCCATTGATCGTCCTGGTGGGAAGTGAGTCACACCCGTTCGCAGGGCTAAACCGTTCGCTACAGTCGTGACGTCGTGTGACATCGTGTCAAAAGAAACGAAAGACATTCAAACATTACACAGGCCCTTAGCACCGTCGTAGCTCCATTGTTGCAGTGGCGTCCGGTTCACGGGTCCTTCATGATGTTGGAATATGTTGGAATACTGAGTGCAAATTCTGTTTCTTCATTCAGAGTTAGCTGGGCAGCACCTGTGTCGGCCAAAATAAGCTAGCCGTGATGTCCTCCTCACAGGCAAAGTAAGCTTTGGCCACTTCGTACACACGCGTGCCTTTCCTTAAAACAGGGTGCTTTCCAAACTTTCAATACGGTTTTGATGCTTTTTCTGAACAAAAACTCCTTTCAGTTCTCTGTTTAAGCTCCTTTCTGTTCGAAATCTGAAGCCCACATTGGGTGCTGCCAAAGGACACGAAGTGGTAGATGAAGTCTCGCGAACCGTCTTCATCTTCAACCTGCAAGTAAACCTAGAACATTCTAGAGCCTAGAATCTAGAGTCAGTGTGAGCATGTGCGCCCAGGATGCAGAAGAGATTGCTCTTCGAGCGCGTATCATTGACTTTGCACAATTCAAAGCATCCACTGAGCTCGGCATGATCAGAAAGGACCGAAGCCACTTCCAGCCCCAACCACCTGCAGAAATCTATCATTGTTTATCATGATATATCCTGATTGTATATATATATATGTGTATATATATATATGTGTATTATAGTTAATTACTAAGTATATCTAATTGTATATTACTATCCCTGATTTGTCGACTCCAGGTGTCTGTCTCTTTGAGCTACCCGCACCGCGCGCACCGCGCGCTGCTGTCCCGAACCACTCCTCCAATTGTTTGATGATCTCTCTTCGTTGCCCATTCCCGTCATAGCCTCGTTCGCTTTTGTTGAACGAAGGGTTTGGGACAGCGCAAACGTCTGCGTGTGGAGCTTGAGTGAGTCTGCCTCAAAACGATAGCCCCTGCACCATTGCTGGGTGCAGTGCTACTTCATTATTCATATTCTGTGGGTGTACCATGATGAGACAACCAGGTGGGTCTGTGGAACAAAGAACGCAAATCACCACAATCTGGAACCGATACTCCACGGATCCCTTGAAGATGCAAACACTGAAGCAAGAAAGCCACGGTCAAAACATGGCAAGGTACTAGTAGAATACTTATGCGTGTGTGTGTGTAACCCTTGGAGTCATAGGGATCCTTCTGGATTTGCTTAGATAGCAGGGGGGCAATGAACACTTTGGAAGGCATTGCCCAACGAAGACCCTTCCATTGTGTTGTGATATTCCTGAGGGACGCCTCGGGAACGTACCTGCAATTTTCCATTTTGAATGGCGAGAGGCTAAGCCAAGAACCTCATTGAACTTGGCTTTTCTGCACGTACGTCGTCACCTTGTCGTCCGCTCGATCGATGCTTTTCTTTTGGAGTTGCTGGCCACCTGAAACCTTTGAGACCTCCGCTGGATGGACCTCCACTTCCTTTTAGGTTTCTTTACTTGTACCCTTAGGAATTGGAACCCTAGGCCGGCATGTGGCACCGCATTCAGTTCAGTACACAATATCTCAAGTGTGTTTGGCCTCGTGCCAACCCGGGATGAGCCCGCAGAGTGCCTCCAGTGCCTCCCGTGGACCCGTTGAACGGGTGTACGTCGTTATCTCCCCTGCCCGGAGATGTAGATGCCCAGAGCGGGCGAAGGTGGCCTAGGCCGTACGTCCGATGATCTTTGTCTCATCTTTGGAATACCAAGTTGGCTTATGCCTTCACGTGACCGCAGCGGTCAAAGCAGCCAGCCATTTCGGCAGGGCACAAGGTGACCACAGCGGTCAAAGCAAGTTTAAGGTCCATTGGGACCTGTGGAGAACTTAGCCCCCTTCTCCCCCTGCCTTCCCCCCTTTCTTTCCTTGCCTTCTGGGGTTTTCCTGAATGTAATACTCAGGATCTCCCCTCTCCTTCTTTGGTGTGTCCTGGACGATTGTTCGTAGCTGGGAACACCTTTGCTTCCTTCTCTCCCTCCTTCTCTCTTCCTCCTCCCCTCCCCCCTCTTTCCTCGTGCGTGGCGTATTTACAAGCAAACTAGGCTTTTGCAACAGGTTTCTCAATGAGGTTTGGGCTGTCATCGGTTTGCCCCCTTTCATTTGGTTCCCCTTTCATCCGCCCCCACAGACTTTTTTTTCCTCCTTTTTTTTTCATGTCCTTCTGTCTTCATGTCTCTTCATCTTTCTTTCTCTTGCGCGCACAATCGTCCGGACCTTAGTTTGCACACATACACGCACGCGTACTTTACTTACAACGAGGTTTAGGTGGCCCAGGTTCGTTACAATGAGGTTTGGCTCACCGGTTGTCCCTCTTCACTTGGTTCCTTTTCATCGGCAACCACACACACCTTTGTCTGTCTTGTCCTTTTCATTTTCATCTGTCCCTTTTGCGTGCACATGTGCCTACCTCCTTTCCGGGCAGGATGGAGGTCACATGCCTCCCTTCGGGGAGGCGTGTGTGTGTACCCTTGGAGTCATAGGGATCCTTCTGGATTTGCTTAGATAGCAGGGGGGCAATGAACACTTTGGAAGGCATTGCCCAACGAAGACCCTTCCATTGTGTTGTGATATTCCTGAGGGACGCCTCGGGAACGTACCTGCAATTTTCCATTTTGAATGGCGAGAGGCTAAGCCAAGAACCTCATTGAACTTGGCTTTTCTGCACGTACGTCGTCACCTTGTCGTCCGCTCGATCGATGCTTTTCTTTTGGAGTTGCTGGCCACCTGAAACCTTTGAGACCTCCGCTGGATGGACCTCCACTTCCTTTTAGGTTTCTTTACTTGTACCCTTAGGAATTGGAACCCTAGGCCGGCGTGTGGCACCGCATTCAGTTCAGTACACAATATCTCAAGTGTGTGTGTGTGTGTGTTGCTTTTTTTTGCGAGACTCGACCAAGTTCATGCCAAATGTCTCAAAAACCATCGATCACCAGATCGCATGTGGGGTGTTTGCTGTCCCAGGCTCTGTTTTGCCATAGCCCGGAACCAAAGCCAAGGCCGTGAAGCGCCTGGGCTGTTGTTTCTGCTGGAGCCTGCCCCAAAGACAATGGTGGACTCTTTGAACTTGCTGTTTGAAACACTGCTGGAAGTGTCATCCCCAACACAGGAAGGAATCAACCTGAATCACTCATGGCCGCAGGGACATGAATACTCATTGCACAAACCTGCCCTATGGCCCTATAGCCCCTCTTTTTTGTCTGTGTGCCTCCAGCATCCATTATGTGTTCGCCTACGACCTACGGCCAACTGATGCCAACTGTTTCCCGTCTGCCTCGTGAAGCACAAGTCCTCGCCACTGTTGAACCAGCTCCTCGTGTCGCGAAGCCGAAAGCTGCTTCCAGACTTGGAGGCCAAAGCAAGATGTTTCTTGTTGACTCAACTGGTGCATTGGTACATGCCACTCAGTGGTGGCTGAACTGATGAGATGAGACGGCTGACATGCATTCGTCTCACACTGCCCACACCAAATTGCGTCCAAAGGGCGACGTCACAGAGGGAGGATTTTTTGGATACCTTCAGGGCTGCACCCGGTCGCGGCTCGCCGTCCACGCGCGATACCCTTTGGTCGCGGCTCCTGAGTCGAGGATTGTGCAAACTGGGCCGGAGTGATCCTGCGATGCCTCGGCAAATGAGGCTGCGTTCGAAAACAGTTTGTGTGTGTGGGTGTGTCAAAGATGCTGAACCGGAATGTATGAAGCCATGGTGTCAATTTCATCTACATGTTTGTATTCCTCATTGATCTATCTACCCCAGTCCGACCGTCCCATGGCTAGTCTTTGGCTCCCTGCCATTGGAAGACCATGTGCGTGGGGCGTCCATGTTGATCTGCAGAGCAAAAGGTGCCAGCACCGCCGACCTAGTCTAGTGGCGTCACCAATCAGGTGACAATCTGGCATTCCATTTGGGGAAGCGTGTCCCGCCAAAGGTCGAGTCACTTCATATCCTTTGAGTTGATAGGGTGACTAGAGCTACTTCAGCTTGGTGCCGGGGCCAATAATTTGACCCCCACACTCTTAATCAATGTCTGTGTCTAAATGTCTTTTCGGGTTCGGATTCTGAATCGCCTGATTTCGCGCCGAATTGGCCAAGTGGCCCCAGGAATGGGCGGTGGCATGGACAATGACAGCACAGCATCGGCCGCGACACCCTCCGTGCAAAAAGAATCTGGTACAACTACCTCAGTTCCGCGAAAGGTGCAACAAAATGAAGGACAGTATGAAGCCTACGCGGGTGGCCAAGTGTGAGAAAGAACGTCCACAGTCTGATTTACAACAGTTTTTTCAAGCATCCATGCCCCAAACCTCCAAATAAATTGAGGTATGGCAGGAGAACCCTCAGAGGTATTCCATGACCCACGTGTTCGTGACTGCGACTCTCTGCTACCAGAGTTGCATGCAAACCTTTCTGACAGTCAGGGTCGCAGCACACACCAGTTTGGCCAGTAGTCTCCCACATGGCAGGATAGGAGCCTTCGAAGTTCCTCAGTTTAAGGGAGCAGTACTTTGCCACGCAAAGTACTGAAGTTCTTTGTGCATGATTGTTTGTAGCAACTCTCTCTCAGCCAAATGATTGATCCCTTAGATCCCTCCTTAAAAGAAATCAAACAGCTGTTTCAACACCAATCTGAGAGCTCCACCGGAATTGCAGCTGTTCCTCAACCGGATTCACTCGGAAGAACTTCGGCACTTGCTTCATCACTTCCTCGGACGCATCGTCAAGACACGGGACGTGTGGTTCTGCGAGGAGGTGGGGATCTGCGAGAAGCGGATGCCACGCCGCGCGAGCTAAACCATTTACAAGAAGTCATTGACAAATGAGCTCTGGGGCAGTGCAGTCATGTTGTATTGTCCCGCCTTTAACTGCCGTGGCATAATTAAGGATTGAACATGATTGAACTTGTGATTGTTATCAGGCAGATCAGGGTGGTAGAGGTACTGGTTGGAGGTAGGCAGGCGACTTCTGCAGTTTGGACTGAACCCAGTTGTTGAATGTCGTTGCACAACCACCCGCTGAGGAAGCGATTATGATCACCCTTCATCATCGCATGTCTTTGCAATGTTACAAAGAACCCTTGCCTCCACCAAGCAATGTCCTACTAGCGTTGCTGCCAGCCGGATCTCGATAAGTTCTCAAAAAGCTCTTTGCCGCAATTTGAGAGCATCAAAGCCTCCCCAATCCTGTCAATCCATTCTGAATCCTTCTGACGTTCCCCTCAGGGTGTTCTCGGTTTTTTTTATGTTTTTCGCTGAACGTGAACGTGGACGCCAAGTTTCCGTAGTCGCATGAATCACAAAGTCACGCATCTGGTCCTCGGCTTCGGATCGCCAAGGCCGAGTACCAAAGAGAACCACGAGGTCAATTGATTGACTGAAGAATTGCAAACCTGAGACTTAAGACACAGATTATGTTCTTTTACATGTTCTTGCTGGCAATTGAGGGGAATACCCCAGTGTGATGATCTTCGCATGTTCTGAGCTGGCCTCAATGCCACCAGGAAGCACTAATCAAATCATTTGATGTGCAAATGCACCACTTGTTGCCGGTGACGTAGGTCGTTGTGCGATCCCCACAATCTGAGCACACCGAGTTCTTGAATGCTGCAATGATGCTATTGTGATCTAAGTTGATTCTCCCTAGCACATCCTACCTGAGCCATGCGAACTCTCAAGCTCTTCCCAGTCTTGCCATGTTTTGTCGCTGGCACCGCCGTGTCGAAGCCGACACCAGAACCGGTTCTCAGATGCGCACCGTCCGGCCCTGAACCAGAAGGTTTCTCGTCCGGGTAACCAATGCGAAACCATGCGCCCTGCAGCACACGGCGGCGTCTGGGGTTGTGATCCACATCCGCAAGACGGATGATGACCAGCCCACAGGAGACGATCATGACTTCAGCATGGTGATCCAAGGAACAGCGATGATTCAAGACTTGCAGCTCTTTGTGCGACATGCAGGCTTGTGAGTGAGCTCTGGGAACACACTGTATAAGACAGTCTGCGTACTGTTACACATTCTGTATGTTCCCAGAGACTGCATATATACACATGGCACAGTCTGCATACACGTAACACCTGCATCTATACAGTTTTTATACAGCTTTTCGCTCTGGAAGACCTCCAAGAACCCAGGGGCGCTGAAAGATCTGGAAGAGTAGCACCCTTGGCCTCCTGGAAGCAGTAGCGATCCTTGGTGTAGGGGTTGGCCTGGCGATGCTGACTTTTTGAAAGCTACGGTGCCATGTAGTATCACGGTTTTGGGGAGCAAGAAAAGGATGTTGGTCTAGCCATAGGTGATTGCTCGAGGAAGAAATGCCTGCCTGCACTTTCTCCTCATAGAGCGTGTCAAAATTCAAGTGAAAGCGGATTGGCACCGTGTTATTCTCCATCAAGACCTGGGTGAAACAGTTGCTGTCTTTGCAAGAAGAACAAGATTGGATTCTCTCAAGGTCTGGTCAAAAGGTCCAGCAAAGAAGCTAGGGTTGAGCTGCTCCAAAATAGAATATATCTGAAATTATTTGGCAGGGTTTGATAGATCATCATTCATTGAACACACGGGCCGGGACTGACAAGCGCCGCCCATCATGTAGCTTGTACCTTGATGCAAAAAAATCCCTGATGCTGATGCTTGAAGCATTCTTGATTTTTTGAACTGATTGGCTTCTGTAAATGAAAGTCAGCAGGAAGTATCCCTGGTCGCTGCAAGCCAAACTCGTTCAAGCTCTCATGGACAGTCTACAACTCGTCACAAGACGCACAAGCAATTTGATCACCATGCTCTCTCACAAACGTTTTCTAGCCATCTCCCCGGCCTTTGAGGATGCTGTCTGGGAGGCGCGCCGTACCTCCCGACGCGCCATGGAGTTGGACCCACCCAGGAGCATCTCTCTCTGAGAATAGAATCTCCGGCGTGTTCGCAAACATGTCAAACCAATCAGAGTTCAGCTCTTATTGCCAATTCTGGCGTGGATCCGCACAAGAGACTGCAGCTCAATCCAAGACTACAGTTGCATTCTCCAGAAGTTTTGACATCAAACCTGAAAAATGAACACCTGGAAGTCCATCTTCCCGAACCAGCAACCCGTGGTTTTCTCCCTGTCTTTTTTTGGAGGGTGGGGTTCCAAGCCACCATATCCACCCTCAATGGCCGATAATCCTCCAACTCCATCCGCCTGTCGACCACTTCCTGAAACCAAGGTCTTGGTGAGAGGCCACGACCCAAGTCTGGGTCCTTCGGCAAAAAGTTCCAAGTGGAAAAAGCTTCTGCCAATTGAAATCTGTCAGACTTGCGAATGCTTGTGGAGGCAATGAGGATTCCAACTCATCTCAAGAGATCTCAATCTCCTCGAAGGTGGACGACAGTTGGCGCGGCAAGTCCTCGAACAAACATCACGAGGTGTAAAGTTTCAGGGTATCATGGGTGGTGGAACCAATTGATGTTGTCGCTGAATCGAAGCAAGACAATTCATGGTCAAAGTGAAGATGGAGCCAGGATGAGCGAAGCAAGTTCCGCAAAAACCTCGGGTCGACGTGGCTCCGCCATTGGATCACTGCCGTCCTTGCTCAGCTGCCATGTGCTCCTCTCAATGTCCCTTAAGACCTCAAGGGCCACATCTTGGCTACGAGGATCTCGCCTCGGCCGAGCCAGACGCGTTCGCCAGAGCTGTTGGCGAAACATCGACTTGAGATCAACTTCTCCGAATCCATTTCGCCTGGGATGGAAATGGAAAAACATGGAAGAACAAAAAACGGTCGGAACCGCCACCCCCTTGTCAAGTTTGATGCCAAGTGCCTTGAATGTAAGATCATGTGTTTAGATGATTTTAGTCCGAAGCGGCAACACCACCTTTCACATCCTTTCACAGTCTAAGTGCCCAGCGTCCCATTGGGGCTGCCAGAAACTGTGACCCAAGCAACGACCTTGCAACACAGCCAAACAACACCGAAAGTCGGGGCTCTACTGGGGTCGAAATGTATCGAAGTTCATCTTGGCCACCCAGCAAATCCAAAAAGTTGACGGCAAAGATTGCTGGGCCGCGCCTGAAATCTTAAATCTCACAGGGCGGCAGCGCGCCACTGCACTTTACTTTCACAACCAAATGAATGTACATTGAATTGTCATGAATTGTCTATATGTGTGCTGTATTTGTTCTTATATTTGTTATTATACAAAGTCAGGTAAAGCTGGCACCGTTTTAGAAGCCAGTGAATCATGATGGTTGGTAGAGAAGAAAAGGAGCCTGCCAAGACCTAAAGAAACTCCAAGGACTGCCTTCTCTGATAAGATAATCCTCTATATTATATAAAAAGTACTTGATTAAGTAGTGTTAAATATAGCTAAATAGAAGTTGTATGTCCAAAAATAATGATTTGAGTAAATCATGTTCATCCCTTCATCAGTGTTTCAACCGGTGAGGTGCTTGGAATGAAAGACCTCGGTTTCCACCGGTTGTTGAGACCACTGAGACCCGTCCCCCAACGGCCTCGACCATCAGAGTGACCACGACGGGGCGCACCAAGCGACGACCGTCCAGACATGGTCGGCGAAAAGCGAGGCAAAGTACGGGTTTCTCGAGGTGTCTTGGTGTGACTTGAAGATCTTGTGAACATCATACACCTACTGTAGACATTGTGGACATGCATCATTGAATATACATCTGATCTTTGGCGTGGTTTTGGGGTGTTCAGCTGCTTTGATGCTGCTTGATGATTGTTCCTTTCTGTTCGGCAGTCGGACCTATGGCGTTGATTTGCTTGATAAGACTATGTTCGGTCCAAGGGTGTTTAACGTATTGCAATGTGGCCGCTAGGCTGTGGCATTGATCTATTGTGCCTTCGAGCTCCGCTGTCATAGGACATTGAGGCTCATTCACATCTGTATGCTGCGGCTGTACTCTGCTTCTGAAGAGTCTAGAGTTAGAGTAAGCAAATGGCATCAAATGGCCCTGACCACCAGACCATGACATATGAACAGCTTACTGTCTGCACAGCCAGGCACAGCCAAGCAGCTGGCCCTCTTCATGTTCCAAGATTGGCCCTTGTTGCCCCAATTCCCTTCTGCCGCTGAGTCCAAGACGGCGTGCCTTGGCAGGGTTATCCACAACGGTCAACGGTGGTGGATTCTTCTGCACGACAAATATAAAATAAAGTTCAACTTTCTGGCAATATGTTGGGCGAAATGGACGCAAGATCACTTGGGACACTTGAGTGTTCAGCCAATGGTTCAATCAAGTTCCGTTCAATCTGGTGACCTCTCTAAGATAGTGGAAAGGAACCGATCGCCAACACCTGCAGTCTCGTCATGTCCATGTCGCGTGAGGCGTCGTCTCTGTCCAGCTTGTCCTGTCCTGTCTGACTTTTGCAAGCTCGAGCCACAAAGCGGTGTGCTGGTGCTCGAAGAGGTCTTCGATGTTCATCTGCTTCAGCGCGCTACGTGCTTCCGGCGAGAGAAGAGGGCTGCCCTTCTCATCCACCTGAAGAGGGAGTTGGTTCTCAGCGTATCAAATTTAAGGTCCAAGGAGGTCTAAAAAAACTAAAAAAGGGTTTCCTTGCTTTTGGAAGGTTGTTATACTTCCAGCGCTTTTCTTATGGCGGTAATAGAAGAATCAAAGAGAATTATCTTCGGATGTCATCCAGCAGGTGAAGCCTACCGAAGCTGTCGAACAGTGCCAATGCACAAAAAGAAACGAAATACAAGAGCTGCTCGAAGGCAACATGTTTCCACATGCAACACAGCTTAGTTCTTGGATTGATATACTTGGTTATTGCAAAAATGGGCCTAATGCATTAGGGCACCTGAGGCGGAAACGGTTAGCTGAAGAATGATATCCGCATCAATTTTGGATTGGTCATGGAGAACAAATATGAACAAAAGGCGTGCCACAGGGCTCCATGGCATTTTAAACGTTACACTCTATGACACTATGAAAGGGTTTTTTCATGAGGCTTCGTGTTTCTGCCAAGCTGCCAGGGAATCAAAGCGAGCGAACTTGGCAGGGCGGGTGGGGTAGTGCTTCACATGGCAGACCTGCCAGGGATTCCGAGGTGAAACAAGTGCAGTCTGGTGATGCCTGGCCTGGTAGTGTGATGGTGGTATAAGATGGTATAAGTACTATATATAAGTGTACTACTTATATAAAAGTATAAAATATGATGGTATGGTTGTTCAAGTCAAGACGAGCAACGACATCCAAGACATCTCTGGCTATCTCTGGCTGATAGTATACAGTCAGCAAGCAATACTTGAGGAACTAATTATTGATCGTTTTTGACAGGTATCTGAACCGGGAAATCCAAGCACAAAAAGAACCCAATGGCCAAACGGTGGTGCCACTCACACGACGCAAATCACAGTAAACTTCGTATGAGGACTCCCTTGTTCCTAGCAATGGCCTCCAACCTACCAGCGATGGCCTCCAACCTAGTAGCTTCTTGCTAATTGTTCTATAACTGCAGTAAGTTAAGTTCTATGAACATTCATGAACATTCAGCGTAGAGCCAAGACCCAACACGCCTGTTGCTGATAGTCCGGATGCTGCTCAACTGCCTCATGTCATATCACATGGTTCAGCAGCTGCTCAAGGTTGATCCCAACCACAACTCCTAACTAGTATCAAGAAGAGCAAGGATTCAGAAAAAACAGGTGCGGTAACGTGCTGTCTCAAGTGGAAACAAGATGAGACCGGAACGAAAAGGTCAAAAAAGGAAAACCATAAAATAGGATTGATCAGATTTGCCATGAAGCTTTCACGAAGCCCAGGACGCTCTCATCTGCCGCCAAGACTGCCTGGAGGTGTGGAGCGCAAATCGCTCCTCCAACCCGTTGAAGACACTGGTCCTAGTAGCTACTTGCTTCTAGTAGCAGGGCCGGGAGCCCCTAGTCGCGTCCTTGCTCCTAGTAGCAATGCCAGGAGCCCCTAGTAGCTTCTTGTTCCTAGTAGTTACTTTGGTCCTGTGTAACGCCTACTGCTTCCTGTGCGAAAGAAACATGAAGAAAGTAAAACATGACGAGCCTGCTCTGGCATGTTTTGCCCCTGGCTGGCAAGGGTTGGAGTCGAGGCATCCAAAGGCGCTGGTTCCTCCCCAACGGGTCGGTCTTTCTCCCCAACGGGTCGTTGCAAAAGAGAAAGAAGCTGTTGCTTCCGCGAAACGCACGACACAGCGGACCAACCAAGCCTTTTGAATCCGAGCCCTAGCTGTCACCGACCGGACCGACCAAGCAAGCAAGCAACCAGGAATGAATCTTCGTGAGCAGCCTTCCCTTCTCGGCTCTGCTCTTCAGCAATCTCTCGTAGCCGACCCAGGATACCTTGAAACTCTGCTCAAACTGTCCAAGCAAAGGTCCATCTTGTGCCAAACATTATCCAACTAATGAACTGCTGTGTTAAAATCAAGTAATTAGCACGCAAAGCAACACCTTCATCGCCTGTTTGTTCCAAGCTGCATGCTTGGATCGAGAAGAGGTCCCGCTCTAAAGCACGGACATCCGCATAGAAGTTCTGCTGTGCAGATTTCCATCTTTTCATTGCCGCGTCCTTACCACCTGGGCGAAGGATCTGTTCAATCGTTTCTTCCCAACACAACCACAAATCCGAAAAGTGTCTTGTTTCACATTGTTCTGTGTTGTGAAAGAATTCCAGCCCCGAGAGAGAATGTTGCAGGGACTATGGGACATGTTTAGACCGAACTCAAATGTTCTGCTCCTGACTGAAAGCACAGCTCAAATTGATTGATCGGACAGAACTGCAGCAACAAAACGTCTGTGCCAAAGCCGTCATGGACGCATGCCATGGGTGCCTGGTGTGGCATCTTCCTCGGGCAAAGCCAAGGAGTATCCACGCGCAACCACTCCAGCGCACATCGCTGGGCGATGACGTTTGCCTGGGAGCAGCGGAAGAAAGAGCTCCAAACGAGTCCAGACTCAGAGAACCAAGTTTAAAGCACAAAGTTCAAGATTCTTGAGAATGAAGTGACGAAGTGAATTGTACAACTCATTCTGAATTTATGTGTTATATAATTCTTTTGTTTCAAGAGTGTTTCCCTGGCCTGTCACAGTAGAGAATGAAAAACGAGAGAGTCAACAAATGGGCCCTGTTGACACCTTTTTTAAAAGGACTCATCTGCATGACCCGTTGGCAGTGCCAAAAACGAAAAACACCATCCATCGGTGTGCATTTGACGTCGCCGTCCACCCGTCAAGGGGCGGGTTCTCCAAACCCCGTTGGACCCCGAAAGCGAGGTGCTCCGAAACATTGTTACTACTAGTAAGGCACTTGTTCCTAGTAGCGTGGCACTTGTTCCTAGTAGCTTCTTGTTACTACTAGTAAGGCACCTGTTACTACTAGTAAGACTCCAAACAGGACTCCGAAACGGGGGGGTGGATTTGAGCTCCGGCCGATCCGAGGTCTAAAGTCTCCCATCCGCCGCCGCCCTGCAACCCATCAAACATCTGTAACTTCCCGCACGATCTGGACAAGCCACTGGCGTTGCCATCTGGCCGCAACAAGACCAAAGACTCAGGAGGCAAGCTACGCCATGCTGACAACAACCTATCTCACTTGCACCAAAAAGAAACGTCATTGAAATTGGCCGAGTTGATTGAGCATAGCGTGAAAGTGAAATGACTATATAGAAAGAGATGCAAATTGGTCACGTGATCTTAAATGCAAACGCACACAAAACCAAAACTCATCCAATCCCACAACTATTTATAGATTCATCATGTCTGCGGCCGTCTGCGCGATCATGAGAATGGCCAAAGCTGTCAGCGCCCAACTGAGCACCTGTCCGCCGTGCCGCTGGCCCCGTCCAGCTCAAGCCAATCGGGAGCGGCTTCCTCGGATGGACTGATGGACCTGGTGCCTGGCGAAAAACCTGTGTGGGAAAGGGGGCCCAGCCGGGCCCAGCCACTGAGAGTGCTCATCTCATCTTGAAAAACGTAGGAGTTGCTTTGCAAAAGGTGCTTGGTGCGCGCCAGTGGACAGCCCGAAAAGAAGAAAAATCCAAAGGGCTATAATAATAAGATTGACTCCAAAGTCCAAAGGTCTATTATCTAGCGATTCAATGTCATGGACACTCCAGCACACATCCTCAGACTCACATAGACTCACCCAAAACTGAAATCGGTGGCCTACAAATCTCTGTGATGTGGGAGTATGACCTGAACAAAGTTACAATCCCAAACCGTTGTGCCCAAATCCCTTTTGGTTTCAGCCCCTGAAGATACAAGAAGACTCTGAATCAAAACCAAGTTCTGAATGTTCTGACATCACCATATTGGAGATCCCACCACGTTCGTCCTCGATCTCCATGCAACAGGTCTCTGCCAAGATCTCCGCAGCACGCTGGGCGCAGGAGCCGTCGAATGGCCGGCCGGCCGCCTCGAGGCTGGCGGCCTCGGGGCATTCGGACCGGTTGCGACGGGGCTCGGGGGCTGGTGAGGCTGGTGAGGGAAGGGTTGATGAAACTCTACAAATGTTTCAAAATGTGTTTTGAAGGGAAGGTGATATTGGAGGCTTGGCCGAACGTCTGCTTGCAGAAGGTTGGAAGACTTCTTCACAACGATGGAAGGTAGTGAAGACTTCGGCCATACCCTTTGTGCTAGTGACCTCACGTCACGAGGCACATCCGACTCGCTTGCCGCACGAGAAAAAACACCTCTTGCACTGTCCTACACCCCAAAGTCTGACAACTTCTCTGGGAGAGAGGTCGCCCTTCTCAATCCTTTGACTCACACTGCCAAAGACATGAGCCACCCTGCAATTGAGGCAACTGGAAGCCTTGCCTGTCAAGAAAGGTCTGCAGGAGTCATGAGACCACGGGATCCGGGGGAGATCCACCCAGCTGTGGGGCCCGCCTGACCACGTTTGCAATGCAGAACGAAGAGTGGTAGTAAACAGTCCTTGACGAAGGACGTCAGGACATCCAGCCACTTGGCCTGAAGCTCGCCACCAAAAACGTCAAACATATTTTTGGTGGATGATGAACCATGATGAACCTGCAATGATTTGCAATTTCGGGGCAAGTCATGCTGTCCAAACACTAGTGTCTCGGGGGCGTGGTCTTGTTCTCAACAAGGACCTTGAGGAGAAGCGAGACTGTAAAATAATCAATCATACCCTTCACATCCCATACCAATCCCAAAAGAAGGACCAAAAAAAAACAAACGAATGCCGAATGCCCCAACATCTCAATGAACAAAAATGCCACATCTCAGGGCGGTGCCCAAGAACTCTTGACCTTGAACACGGAGGAGTCTTCCTCCTCGTCTGACGTGGCCACTCGGAGTCTCATGATCAAATCAAGTCTGTCGAATCTGTCTGTCGAATCCGTCTGTCTCATCGATTCAGATTGGATAGAACCAAATTGAGGGTCTCCAAGATCTTGGGTGTCCAGGCAAATTGAGTGTCTCTCCAAGGTCTCTTCACCAATCAGATCCAATAAGGATCAATACAAGTATGATCAAGAAGGTATTCCTAACCATGCTTGGAAGATCAACTTCGCTCCGGTCATCCGACCTGCAACTCTTCAAGGTCAATTGGCATCGCCCCATCTGTCCCGCCGCCGCGTGCCCGCGTCGGGGGCTGAGTGCCAGCGTCGGATTTTCGTGCCAGCCAGTTGTGTGTCGCAGTGTTTTGCTGGGGACCACGAGTGTCATGTCGTGATAGATGTTCTGAAAGGCATCTTTACATATCCAATTTCTTTTGCTGTAAGGGGCTGCTTAGGTTCTTGCATGTGTGCTGACCATGCCCGAATTCCAGCGTTTTGACAACGTGGTGATTAGGCATGGAGTCTTTCTTTCGGGAGAAGCTTCGCTATAATTCTCTGCAAGAAACTTGAGTGAGTTGCTGTCCCCTTCCTTCAAGTCAGGTGAGGTGGGACGTGAAAGTCCAAGCAAAACCATTGGCAAGTCTCACTCACTGACAGAATAGGACACATTGCGCGCATGAAAGCAGCAGGAGTTCCAATTCCTTTCCATGGAATTTCCTCATGTAACTACTCAAGCCTGTTCGAGCATGCTGACATAATCAACATCATTGTCCGAATTCTAAGAGCTCTTTCGATTACACAAGTCCCAACAACAGATCTGAGAGGAAAATCCTTTTAGACTGACCCAGGTGCGACTTCGCCGGACATCAAAAGGCTTCAACATTTGCTGAAGTTGCTCGCGTCTCCGACCATCGGAATCTCTTGGAGATGCGGTCGTCTCCCCAGCTTGGTCTGTGCCATCTAAGCCAAAAGCATCAGATGTCGAATCCGTCAGGCGTAAATTTTTCGGTTGTTTGATGCATGGCTGTCTGATTTCTGCAATGATGCGACCAGCATGTGTTTCGGCGATCCCCTTGTTTGTTCAAACCCAGCCGAGGAGTCAAAATTGGCAGCTCCCATCAGGAGCGAACTTGGTCACACACCAAGAGTCTAAGAATCCAAGCCAACCGATGGCTCTGTATATCTGTATAGAAAACTCCCTGATGATTGCTCATAGCCCGAACATGGCCCTCGATGCACTTGAGGTCAGCAAAGCCTAGATTTTGCTTATCCCTTTCCGGGCAAAACGTGCGTGCTGAAAATACACCTGTTCTAGTACTGTGGAGGACTATGCACATCAGCGTCACAGCTCTCTTGCTCACTTGTTGTCTCTATTCTCTATCATAATAATTATTGTGGAGTGATATTAAAATTATACAGTAAGATAATAGCGAATGAGTGAAGGTATGATCGTCACCTGACTCGGTAAAATGAATTCATTGATTTCAAGGCCTTCGTTCAGGCTACGGAAGCGAAGGAACCTCCCAGGCCGCCCAATGATGCTGCAGTGGAACCGCTGTAATGCGTTCCAGACTACGGCAGCGCTTAGGCCACCAGCGAAACAGATTCGGAGATTCGAAAGGCTGAAAGAGGCTACGTCGCCGATGCTCGGCGCCGCGCCATCTCCGGAAGTCCCTGATGACAGACTCAAGTCTTGGGAAAATCTCACCCCAGGTAGAGTTTCGCAAATCCAGTGAGATCTGATGGGGCATACGGCCTGCGCAGGGCTTGGAATCAGCAAACAAGGGAGCAGCTCATGTCCAGCGCAGCATCAAACCCTCGAAGTCGCAAAGCTACGGAACTAGTTACAGAAATAGGATGAACATGGATGAAATAGGCATTGTTTCATTTGGCACAGGCCCTATTTGTGATGCTTTGTGTCTCTCACAACACACCTTTAGCAGCATTAGCTGAAGGACAAATCGATGTCCCATTTCACAAAACGTCTGCACCGAATCGCCTTGGAAAGTCATTGTAGGCGTGCCAATTCTGATCATACTTCATCGTCTGCCAACTCGCCCGAGACAGCGCATACCTCGCTCTTTTTTTTGCGGGGCGGTGGTGCACCGTGGTGCGATCCGGAGGAAGCCTCAACATGTTTACACCTTCATGGACACTGCAGGGATCCCGGTAGCAGGATGGTAGAAAACATTAGAAAACACATGCCAGGATTGTCCAGAATCAAGGCTACAGGTCGCGGCTTGGCGAGACAGATCTCAGATTCAGAGCGACCGCTCATGTCTCAAACGAGAATTTGGATGGCTCCAACGGACGAAGGCAATGGCGACAAACAGTGTCAACGCTTCAAGATGTTGCGCAACAAAGCGCTGAACACATATCATTGAAGCCCTGGCATTCATCATTAAACACCTGAGCCTGAACCGTCCTGAACCCCCAAACATGCTGGAACAAAAGAAGCATGATCAATGCAGCATGCCTCAGTCTGGTAGTGATCCTGTTGAAGGATGTTAAAGAAGAACTCCCAGGTAGTCCCAGTACTTACAGGGCTTATATAAGGGCTTATACACCTCACATGATGCGAGCCCATCGATCCTCCATGATCGTCCTATCTCCTGGACTCCGGGGACCCCAGCTCTGGTGGCGCGTGGAGGTCGATGCGAACTCGCCCCTCTCGCTTCTGGCCGTGGCACTCGAACGGGCCGTAGCGCGGCACTTGCGCCGATGCGAGGCTAGAAAGGCCCCGGAGAACGACGAGGAGATGCACGATAGGAGCGGCGGATGGGAGCGGATCCAGAATAAAATATGAAAATGTGTAGCAAATCTTTGGTTGGACTAGAGAGGGAGAGGGAAGTCATGGGTGAATTTGTCTGCAGTGGCGGTCAGTGTTCAATGTGTGTCCCATATAGCATTTTCTAGCACCATGATTCTACTGTATGGCATTGAAGGTCAAGTCGAGTTTATTGAAACTTCTCTTGATCTGATATTGTTGGTGATTTGTCAAGATACCTCAGAATGTGTTCACCTGTTTTCATGTGCAAATCCATCACATGTCAAGCCACAATCAAGTGCAATGAGCTCCGTGTGCTCCTCTCCAAAACTCTTACTTGTCGATTCTCGCAGCTACGTTCGAGTACTTAATGAGCCTTTGCTTCATGTAAGGGCTAAACGACCGGTGATCACCAGGATTCACCTATGGTCACCTATATGGTCAACTGCCAACTGTCTCACACGTCGAACCGTCCGGGCGCCCCGACCGTGAACTTGGACAAGTAGTCGCGCTTACAGGGTCCACCCGATGGCTGTCCCGCCTCGGCGCGCTCACTTCGCTTGGTTCGGTCGGCGTGTTCGGTCAGAGGTCTTACTGTGTTGGTGTCCACGAGTGTTGGGTCTGCTGAGCAGTGAGGTGAAGGGGCTTTTGATGGCTTTTGGGTGTGACGGTCTAAAAAGGGGTTTGGAGGTTCTGCAGGTGCCTGCGCGTCTTCTCAAAGTAGTCTGCAAATGTCTGCACTATTGAGGAATGTTCTCAAAGCTTGTCCCAAACCTTGGTCTGGCTTCTGACTCACAAAGCTTAAAAGTATTTAAAAGTATGTTTACTTCTTGGCCACGAACGCACCACACACCCCAAAAGCAGCACCTGAAATCATGAGGATGAACATGGGCCCAAAAGCGCAGGGGTTATTCAAGAAGTTTGAGCCATCGTTGCCCATTGCAAACCACATGAAACCACCCACTTCAGCTGGACTGAAGACCTCTTCGGCCACCAGCTCAGGCACAAACCGCCCGTTCCTTCTCCTCTGGCGGTCGCCCTCGCAGGCGAACGCGCTCGAAGCCCAAGCCTGGGGCCCACGGGCACCCAGCTGGGCCCAGGAGTCAACAAGCAATCCGCATAAGAATATCACATTTTCAGACATAAATTGTCTTAACTCATTTTCCAAAAAAATGATACGAACATCACATGCTTCGTTGATCTTTGTTGTCATTGTTGTATGCTTTGTCGTCATCTGCACATTACCCCTCAGCTGCATCCCTGGCTTGTAGGTCATGGACGGCTGTAGGACCGCAGTGCCACAAGAATGGGGTGCCCCTAATCCATCGATCTCCCAGAACAGGGAAATGTCCTAAACCATCCGCAAACCTTGATTTGTCAAACTATCACACCAATTTAAAGAATCTAATATATACTTCCCAAGAAGGGTTGTTCAAATGCTCTTCATCTTGTCCATGAAGTGCGTAGAAATATGTCCACCCAGAAGACCCGAGATTCCGAATCCATGATCTACCTTCCCAAGTCCCCCATGTAATTCGTTGGTTCGACCAGGCGGCTCTCTGGATTGCGATGGTGAGGGTCCGGAGAACCCCAGCTGCAAAGTGCCAGGTGCGCGGCCGCTGCGCCGGGCCTGGTGAAACACCCCGCGAGCAGGTCAAAATCCAAGGCAAGGTGCGTAGCAGTGAACGCAACAAATCTCCCAAACTCCCAGGAAAAGACTTGCGAAGTCGATGTTTAAAGTTTACATCATCTGTTCACGGATGTTGGGTGATTGTCCTGCGTCCTCACTCGAAAGAACCCGCGACTTGGGTGTCCAAAGCTCCCATAGGTGCTTTTTGGACCATCTTGGGCCGTAGCTTGATGCTGGGCGTGCTCCACGCCCTCCGGAATGGCTCGGTGGCCAACCTGGGTCATGGGTTTTGGTCCAGAATTTCTTTGAAGGCTTGGATATGCTTGGATGCAGGCTTCTGGCTACACCAGCTGCATTTGGCTGCATAAAAAGCGGAAAAAACAATTATGCAAAGTTTACAGGTTTCCTTTCTCCTGCTTCCACTTTCTCCTGCTACCGGGCTCAAACTTTCGAGTCCGACGGAAGGATCGAAGTCTTTCGAGTCTGCATGACTGAGACCGTGACATGGCACCGTGGGGCGTGAGAACCGGCTGCATCGCGGAAAACAGGTGGTGCGCGGTTCGGTTCCGCACGCCCGGGCGGTTGTTGGGTGATGTGTGCAGGGTGGGCCTTGCAGGGTAGTACTGGCGAGATTCTGTGCAAAGTGAAGATAACAATTACATACAATTGACAATT